GCCTCCGGCCACCCAGGCGCCTCGGCCGCCCCGTCGCCGCCACCCTTTCTCTGCGCTCCAGGATGAGGTCTCTCCGCGGCAAGCTGGAGTCTGGGAAATTGGTGTGTGCAGCTCCTCACCGTGTGTGCTTCGCGAAGCTTTGCAAAATTTAAGTCCTCGAGTGGGTCGGGAATGAATTTCTGAGTGGTAATACCCGGTTCACGTCGGGGTCTTGGGGAGGCAAGAACCCGGGGTTTTATCCGCATCTAGGGGGCCGTAAGCACCCCACCCTGCCCCCACAAAGGCTCCTCTGCAGGTGCGCACGTGGACTTCGTCCTTTCCAGGAAAACTTCTCAAAGCGGTGAGGGCGCACATTTTCCGTCTGTCCCCAAGTCCGTGGTTAACACAGTGGGCCCGCGGCGAATGAGTCCTTAGCAGGCCCTGTCGAAGAGTCTCCTGATTATGCTTTCAAATAGAGCTTACGTCCACGAAAAAGAACATGAAAAACAATACAGTGAGTGTTGCTGAAGCGTAATAATAACCAATTCGTCCTTAAAATTGGTGATGTTCACTCTCGTTTTTTCAGGCCGCTTTGTATCACGGTACTAGGTTCCCACCAGTGCGTTGAAGTGGCGACTTTGGGAACTCTCGCTCACCTGTGCAATTTAAACACTTGCACGAGGGTGGAAGTCCTAGGGCACAAGTGCGCCCTGAGGTCAGTGAGTCGGACCGGCCAGCTCCGCGGGCGGGTCTTTTCAATGGTGCCTGCGCGCCGCTTCCCTAGGTGACCAACAGAGGGCTCCAGCGGCCCAGGATTGAACTGAAAATTACTGTTTCAAGGCTCGTTTAAGGAGCTTGCAGATCACCGCTGGGAACCCGGAGCCTCCTTTCCTGAAGCTGTTGAAGATGGATACTTGCCCTGGGAGGTGGACAGGTGTTTTGGAGGAGCCTCTCGCAGTTTGCAGCAGAAACAGCACATCAGGACCTCCTTGTGTCCACCCCAGGCAGAAAACTACACAGCCATGGGTGAAGTTAACATCGTGTCTCCTCTCTGTCTGTATGTGTGTATGTGTGTATGTATGTGTATGTGTATGTGTGTGTGTGTATATATATATATATATATACACGCACGCACAACCCCATACATAGCCTCCTTTTAGAATGGTAACACCAATTTACTCCTAGCAAATAAGCAAACAAAATAATGGTAGAAAGTGAGATTCTACAAAGGAGTAGAGATCAAAGACGGAGAGGGTCTTGCTTCCCCCAGCCCTCAAAGACGCAGCCCCTCCTGTCCCTGCTTCGCCCCACTCCCCACCCCCAGCGCTCAGACCAGACTTACCCTGTTGACTGTAAACCGTTCCGTAACCCTGGCTTTCTATTCCCTCTCTCCCGTATTGCTCCTTGTACCTGTATGTCATCTGCTTTGACAGCCAAGGGCAGGGTCTCCAATTTCACCAGAAAATGAAAGGAAACAAAACAGGTG